TTATTGAGTTTCAACTGTTGACGAACATTACTGAATTGTGTAGCAACATTACAAAATATTAAAAAACTTTAAGTGCACCTAACCCCAACTTTTTTTTCTGCCACAACGAATCTACTTGTTATTTGAAATACTTCTGCAGAGACATTTTTGGATTCGGTTAAATCCTCGATTTTCTGTGTCCCGATGAAATCTCGAAAACAGCTCCAAAACACTGCCATTTTGTTTTGTGACTGAATTTGAGGAGAACGGGTCCAGCGGCTATTGTCTACCCAGGAAGGTTGAATATCTCATGTCCTCTCATTTACTTCAGGATGGTACAATACACATTTGAAAAGTGCACAGAAACGCCTTCCAGAAGAGCTATCGGCTGTTGCAGCAATATCCCAGATTTACACCCGCTTTCAGTGTTACGTGCATAGCAACTATCTCTTGACATGCCATCTTTTGACATGCCATGTAGCCTGGCCTACATCAACATGTGAGCACAAGTGGCTTCTTTACAGTCGAACTTGACTTTTAGTCATGAAAGATGGATTTATTTGACATTAAACTAGGGCTAGGAGCATCAAGAAAACATTTTGTGAGGGATAAATCGACTGCTTTGAATGTTTACATCTTTTGCATATTAACTGAGCGGTAGCGGCCCAAATTCTACTGGAAGTCACTATTTAGAGCCGATCGACTACACTAAAATTGTTTGAATTATCCCATAAATCGGGAGTCCACATTCTTCTTCCTTCATTTGAGGTCAGTAATTATCATATACAGTATTGTGCAAAAGTAATGAGAGCGAAATGTGCGAATTTTGGTCTTTGTCTCTGCAAACTTTCGAAGGAAAATTCAAGCGTCTTTTCGCAATGTCTTGAGGGTTATTTCTTTAAAACAAAGGATGAAATTCGCGGCATTTTCAAGACCAGAACGACAATTCCTTATCAGAGGGATAATTTTGCTTGCAGTATGTGAAATATCGCAGTACAGTGTGCTGACCAGTATTGAGCCATCAATATATCGTTCT